TCCGATGATCGTCCAAGGTCCCTTCTGGCTTTACAGTCTATGAATCTAGGGACCCTGCTTTGATGACAGCCCATGGAAACTCCTTCAGTGGAAACAGGAGTCTGCCCTGACATATGCTGTGCAATTTGTTTTGCCCATGAGCACACCTGGGCAAATCGAAAAGCTAAACCCAGTTGTCCCATACAACAGTGGAGGACTGTTGTTTGTACAAATTATTTTAATAATAAAATCCTTGAAAAAATTATGAAAATTATTCATTCAGTTTTTTTTTTTAACCATGCACTGTTTTCTATACTAAGCAAGTCTAATCCAGACTCTCTATATCAAACTCTATATTAAAACACCCTGTTATTTAAAAATATATAAACACATGGTAAGCAGCAATAGTGATGCCTCATACTGGTATCTGCTTAGGAATACCCATCATTAAAAAACTACCAACACAGGTTGAGTAGTGGAATATAAAGTCTAAGCATGGAAGAAATTTCTCTTTTTTCTTACCATTTTTACAAACTAAAAGCCACGAAAACCAGGTTGCATGTTCCAAGATCTACTAGCACTTAAAAACAATATCGCTGTTTGTAAGACAGTATATTTGTAAGTGTGTTATACGAAAAGGGAAAGCCACAGATGTCTGAAGGACTAGACAGTAGTGATTGTTTATGTGCAGTGATGACTCCTTTTAAGGTGCTGAACATCACCCACATTGTGGCTTCAGACTGTGCAGAAGAAAAGTCCAGTTATCAGACAGTCACAAAAAGGCCTTTTATGATTGTTGCAACTGTGAACAAGTAATAGATGTAGAGAAAAATAACATTTGCAGGCCCCACAGAGCAGAATACACTCTCTTTTGAATATTAGGGAGCTGCATACTATTGGGTGACCGAGTAAGGTTGACTGCTCAAAGTGTGGGGACCCTTGTCTTCAAGAGGAGCCTTACTGTGGGCATGGGGGTCTGTCTGTGCTGAGCACCTTGCTAAATGGGAGCATGAGGCAGTAAGAAGAGGCCAGAGTCATATTTGAATGACCTAGCTGAAACACGGCTGGGTTGCAGAAGGCATCAAACCCCAGTGAATGCAAATGGCAGTTTTCTGTCTGGACTTCCTTCTTCTTTTTAAGATCACTGCTATCACTGTGCCTTTATTCAGAAAGGAAAATAACTGGGAGATATCATAAAATTAGACAAAAGATTATGAGATGCTCGGCTACTCTGGGGTGGGGGTCACTACAATCTTGGGCGTTGGCCTTTTTCAAGTATGACCTTCTATACGTGTGGTTTAATATGATTGTTTGATGGGCTACAATTGCTTTGCTTTAAAAACTTTGCTTAACGTAAAAGTGCCTAAAAATGCCAGAAGAAATCAAAAGCTCTAGGCCATTGCTAAACTGAAACGCGATGGGTATGGCTGTACAGCTCAAAGCAGTGCAGCGCAGAGACCTGCCACACCTATTCTGCATATGCTAGCTTCAGTGAACTCTGCCTTTTCACAGAGCCTGAGTGCAGTGCTACAGTAATTCAGCTACACGACTTTTAGGTCACAAGCTGGCAGTGTTTCTCAGAACAGTGCTCCTTTCTGGCCTGTCACCGCATCCCGAGATACTTTTGTTTTGCTTGCAGTGCAGGTCATCTGCTAGTGCACTGTGTTGGCACAGGAAATGGTGAGGGAGGCCTGGCTTTCGCATGGTATGGCAGAAATTATAAATAACAGCGCTCTCAAATTTTGATGGAACCAAGCTATCTACAGGCTGCAGGTAAAAATAACATACTCCTATGGACCCATTACAGATTTTTTTTTAATAAAGTGCTGTACCTGCACTTCTGACAGAGACTGCTAACTCACTGAATATAAAGAATGAGTATGATCTCCAACATTACCACTAATTAATTGAATCTATAAAATATGAGCATGAAATAACAGAAACTGTAGCAACTAGCTGAAACTTCCATTGCCCTTGAGGAATGTTAGTGTTTGCTACTTATTAAGGTGATGTAGTGTGCAAAATTACTCCATGCCTAATTACATTTCTTAAGATATATAAATCAACCAGCTTAAATGTAGGACATGGTGCCAGCTGCGTCTGAGGTGGATCTGTCAAATGGTGCCACAAGTTTATCTAGAACTAAAAAACAGTAAGACTACATTAGAACCTGTCAACATTCAAAGTAGACAAATAACATTATGGATGCTTTACCAAAGGGAACCATAGTAATGGACATATGTCTTTTGAACAAAGTAAGGGAAGGATTTTATAGGACTAGAATTAAAGGTTATGCTTGGACCCTGACGGAAGAAGTGCACTCCCACTGACTGAAAAATTGTGTCTTCAGAGGGTGGGTCTACATGTGAAATTAAGGTGGAGCAATAAACTCCGGCACAGTTTGTGGGCGTCTGACATGGCCCAACATGCTGCAGAGGGGCTGGCTAGGGCACAAAGGTGGGGCACCTACCTACTGAGATGTGGGTAGATATGCACGTGCGTGCATGTGCACCCCCTGAGATTGGTGGTGGACCCTCTGACAGAAGGGCTGCCACTCACCACCCTCCACCCCTCGCTGCTGACGCTGCCAGCGGCACCTGTGGGTGGTTCCCGATTGCCGTTGGCTACTGCCAACACTGCTGGCAGCATCTGCGGGTGGTTGCCAACCACTGGTTGGCACTCACCACCCCCCACCTCCCTGCTGCCACCACCCCTGTGGGAACTCTCTGCTCACTGCTGCCATGCCCCAACCATCGCCGTTGCCACCGCTGGCGGGCGGTCGCCATGCCCCCCCAGCATCCGGGGACACGCGTTGTTCATGGGTGCTACAGTGTGGGGCAAGCAAGCAGGCAGCCCCCAACTGTAGCACCTTCATGCTCCAGTCAGCCCCACCAGCATCTACACATATTAGTTGCAGCAGAGTAAATAACTCTGCTGTAGCATAGGACTTGTGTCGGGTACTACTATCCTAGAGCAGAGTTAATTCATTTACTCTGGCCTAACAGCGCCACATGTGTAGACGGTGATGCTTTACTGCAGAGCTAGTTAGTCAGCTTTGCAATAAAACATCTCGTGTAGACGTGCTCAGGGAGGTCAGATTTAACCTCTCCCCACAGAAGACTCCAGGATTTGGTATGTCTTATGATATGTATTAATGCTTACAGTAAAATTGAAAGCAAAAGAAAAGTTTAACTATGCCAAATGAGTTTTAGGATGTACTTGAGATAACATGGAATCATTCTTCTGCATGGCTGAGACAGCTAATTACCATGACGATTACAGACCTACCCAAATTGAAGTGACAGATGGGCGATTTCATGGGCTGATTGTGGTGCCAGCCACCATTTTCGCAGGCTTATTGTGGCAGGGTCCCCCCCCACTTCTTATTGGCTGAGGGGCCCCAGTGGCCCTGCCCCTCACTGCAGATTGGCAGGTGGCCCCAAACCATGATACAGTGCTCCTCAGGCAGCAAGTTACTGAAGCAGCATGCCTTTGGCTGCTTAAAAGACAGCACCAAAACCCTGTTGTTTCCCTGACTGGCCCCAGACTGGCACCTGTAGTAAGCCTACGTGACAGGCTCAGTCTCTCATTTGCTCCCTCTCACCCCCTTCTCTCCCTTTGTGCTCCATGGCTGAGGGACTTCCTGCCCTTTTCTCTGCTTAAATTTTAGGGGTTTTTTAGTGAGCCTGCCAAAAGTGCAGAGCCTGCTGTTTTTCATGGACAACCCCCAATTTTGCATTTTCTACCAAACCCACAAAACTGTGATTTTGGTAGGTCCCTAATGATGATCCAGGGTGGAGTAGGTCCCCGAGGCAGTATATAGATGGACATGTGAACTCAATATGAGTAACTTCTATCCACCTCGAACATGGTTCACTTGAAATTTCAGGTTTTTCTCAACAAATATTGGATGCATTCACTGGAGGTTTACTGGAGGGCAAGGAAGGAGGAGGAACCCTCCATGGATTGAATGCAGTGTTAATAGACAGCATTGTGATCTAAAAGAGGAGCCCAATTTAGCCAGACTAGCTTTTGGGATTGTATTTTCCCTCATACATAGCACCAAGCTTTCATTAACTAGAAAAAGGTAGGGCTGTAAATACATCTCTCTTTGACGCAGGCTTGATTGTCCTAGGACGTGGCTCGGCTAAGAACAGTCGTAGCAGTGATTTGCGTGGTGCTCTAAGCTGTGTTGCTGCTCCTCTGCCAGCGGGTGGTCAGCAAGAGCACACAGCCTGGCAGGCTTGTCTCTGGAATGGCCCGCAATCACCTTACAGATGCACAGCACAGTGTCCCAGGCAAAAGAAGTGTTAGCACATTTTATGCCACATACTTCAGAGGGACTCAGACTAGGGCACTGCATGTGTACCTCTGTAGGATCCTAGGGCAAAAGACTTTGCCCCGGGAGAAATGCTGCGTCTGTTCACAGCCCGAGGTTCTGGTTAAAAAGTCAATTCTCCCTTGGGGAATAAAATGTAATAAAAACATCTTAAATGATATGAAAAAAAAGTTTCATCCACTTAAGGCCTGTAAACCCCAAGGAACATAATTCAGGAGACTGCCAGCCCTTGGGGATTGCCAGCCCTTCAAGCTCAGCTGGGGTTGCCCATTGCTAAGATCTACGGTGTCACACTGTGTGCATCAGGAATGTTGACTGCTTTAACCATAGTAAAGATGTACTCCCTCAGGGTGGGGGAAAAGGCTAAAATACTGATTATGACCAGAAAATTGTCAGTCTTTTTGTATATAAGAAATGTAACATTTAAACTCAGCCAGCAAAGATCTTAGGAATGCCCAAAGCAGAATCAGGCAACATTTCCCAATGATTATGGATGTGTATGCATTGTCTTGATGGAATACAAAACAGGGATGATTAAGAGGATTACTCCAGCTAGCTAATAAACTGTGTCTCAAAAAATCAGAAAATACAAAGAGCCTACAACTCCTGCGTAGCCACATCACGATTATGGTACATGTCTGAGCGCACTGGCAGTAGCATTATATATTACTATTTCTTTTCTTTCATAACAAGTGGCCTGCATCTGTAAGGTGCTTAGAATATGCTAAGTAGTAACTTCTTTTCAGTGGACAGAGTATATCAATCAGAGTTTCCAACTCTTCTTTTCCTCCCATAATAGTGTAATTTTGTCTGAAACTGTTCCACCAAAATCCTTACGAAAGGCACATTAGCTTGGTGGAGACCTTCTCTGTGGCCACCTCAGCAAAAAAAGCTTCTTGAAATCAGACTGTGTGCAAACTCGTCTCCGAGAACAGGCTTTCAACTCTAAAGCAGTCTAAATCTTCTTAAGTCCAAACCTCCATGGGCACCATGGATTCTTTTGTTCCAACAGAAGGAAGCAAGTTTTCTTCCTCCAGGAAACGAAAAGGGAATTGGACTAGAAATCCATGAATCTTTTTCAATTCTTCTGCTGCTTTCACGGGATCTTCATTTGCTAATATTGGCCTGTTGATGAAGTCACGGAGCTGGACTAAATTGTTCACCTCATCACTGGGAAGGCATCGGAAAACCTGATGAAAGTGGAAAGAAGAGGGGCCACATAAGTGCCACTACCTGCACTTCATGGGGATGGGGGTGGGGAAAAAAACAACGAGCTGTAATCAAGTATAAGTGAATCAGCTACTGAAGCTGGGGGAGCCTAGAAGTTTGTGCGGAGGTCAATGTGAAAGAAAGAGGCACCCAGACTAGAGCTTGCATATTGAAATCCCTAGGGTATGTCCTGATTGTTGCTCGAAACTATCCAAAAAGTTTGCTTTTATTAGAGAACCTTGCTCTGTATATGGCCAAACAGAAGATTTAATTCAGACCCTGAATCTCTCGCACAAGCAGGTGTAAATCAAAAGCAACTCAAAGTCAGATTGCTGCTGCTCTTGTTTACATCTCTTGGCAGCAAGGAAGCTGGAAGGGAAGAGGCCAAAGGAGCCATGTACTTCACCTTGTCGAAGATAGTAGCATTGCGAGCAGCTGTGGAAACCCACACCTCCTTGAAGAATTTGTCGCAAACAGGATCAAGGAGATCAACATTTTGATTTGTTGAACAACCAAGAACAACCCTGAAAAGAGAAAACAAAGAAGAGTTGATGCCATTTGAAGGTAACACAGAACTGCCCAGGGATGATCTCCCTGAACAGGAATGTGATTCTCATCACCAGCTTTTTCTCTGAAGGAAAATAAAACACAACGGTAAGAAAATGCCACGTGCATTTAGTAAATTAAGTGACCCTAGAAAAGCATCCAAAAGTTGAAATTAATAACAGACCCACAGTATTATCTGTATTTGCATGTGTACTGCAGTGCTCAGCTGCGCTGTGCTTGACATGGTTCAAGCTTAAGTGAGATCCTGTCATATTGTCTATCAGAGAAAAGAAGGCTGCCTTTTTAATTGCCAGCAAGCTTTCCCAAAGCCAATAACATGAAGGGACTGAAATCATCCTGCTAGAAGGCCACCCTGTACTGGCTACAGGAGCTGAGTATGTGCAGTATCCCAGATAGCAGAGTCAGCGTCTCGTAAGATCAGGCTGTCCGTGGTGCAGCCCCATCTCCAAGTCCATTGCTCTAACCCCTTGGAACATTGCTTCTCCTGAGGAAAAGAAAATCAATACATAAATACAAAGAAGAAAGATAAAGTTTCCCAAAGCAAATTTCCTAAGTACCCTTATCACTTGATGTTGTTTCATACACAGAGTGGCCTGTCAGACTTAAAACTGCCTTACTGTCCCCTTCATTCTGTTTAAAATCTGTTTGGATGGAAAATGGAAGAAAGATCCTAACAAGAAAATAGCTAGTTCCCATTGCAATAGAAAAACCTGCCCCCCTACAACTGATATGGTGCAGAGTTAGCATGTCTTACTGTCTTGTCTGTGACTTCCCTTTGTTTTAGGATGACCCTATGTCCTGGATTGGCCAGGAGAGTCCTGGATTTTGGAGGCTGTCTCAGTCTTGGAGAAAACTGAAGCAAAAGTCCCGAATTGGCACAAACCCACCTGCACGTGCCGAGCTACTGACCCAGGAGCTGGGCACATGCGGGCAGACTCGTGCCAATCTTGGACTTTTGCTTCAATTTTCTCCAGGGAGCCCAGCTGGGCTGCAAGTGGAGCCACTTGAGCAGCGGAGTTGGGGGGAGGGCCGTGCAGTTGCGCGCGCGCGTGGCCCTGCTCCTGGGAGCCGTGGGGTGGGGGTGTGTGCGCATGTGTGCGTGTGCGCATGCATTCACGCATGTGCACTGTCATCCTCTGGCACCGCCCCATACCAGATTTCCCTCAAATTATTATGGCCACCTTATTTAGTTTAACGGCCCAGGCAGAGAGATATGCAATTCAAACAGCTGTTTGCAAGGAGAGGACTGAACCAGAAATAACTCTGCCTAAAACAAGACTCTGGGCTAAATTCAGACCAGGCTGGGATAAATTTGAGCCCACTGGGTAAATAGGTTCCCTTGATTTTAAAAGCCTTGAACCTCCTTGTGGTAGGGGTAAAGCTGTACTTCTAATACAATTCAAACCATTTCTGGACAACAGCACAGATATTCCCTGTTGCGGATTAACAAGGAATGCAACACCTCTGTATTAGCAGAGCTGTATCCCTGCATTCACACAACCTGCTGGGAGGGGGCCCAGCTGCATATGATCGTGAATCTGCTACTCAAGAATTCAACAAGACGCTCCCTCCCCACCACCTCGAGTCCCCAGGGAAGTCGAGCAGTCATACCGAAAGCACCGGAGACGGAGTGACTGAGCAAATTTTCCAGCTTGGTAGTCCTCTCCATCCATCATGGAGGGGATGGTTTCAGTGTCTTGCACAAGAATAGCCATTTCACTGTCACGCTTTCCCAGCAAGCTGCGGTCATTGATGTTAGCAGAGCCTTTGAGGGGAAAATAATACAACAACTATAACACTGCAGATAAATTCCCACTTTCCCAAGAAATGTAACTTCCTTGAAGAGAGTTTTGCTTATCTCCCATGAGATTTGCCTACTTCTTTGCAGGGTTTTGGTCTTTTCATGATGTCCCGAGATTAGAAGGAAAGATCTGTGTATGCTTGTGTGTACATGTAGGAGTGTCACTACATGTCTTTTCTCCAACCTCACAATCTTCCGTGTATTTCCTTTCACTGCCACTCTTCTGCCTGACCACCTTCTACCATCCCACTGTGTGGTCCCTACTGCCACCTTCTTGCCTGTATCTACAAACACACTTGACAAGTTCAGCTGTGAGGAATTAGCCCACCACAGTCTGTGGGCCCCAATCTGCTAGTGCATGAGACAAAATACAGCAGGAGTTGGAGGGTAACAATCTCATCCTGTGCACTAGCTGGGAGAGAGCAGGATTAATTACTTCTGCTCATTCCTGAAATGGGAGAAGATCAATGTAAATGCCAAGTGAACATCATCCATTTTATTTTTGTTAGCGAAACAATTGAGGTTGCTAAGGACCAGGACTTTCTGAGATGAAGATTTGTTAGAACAGATCTTCCCTCAAAGGCACTTCTGATAAAAGAGTCAGAGACCCAAAAAGAGCTGAGAGCAGGACGAAGGGGAAAACACAACATCATGTTTCATAAACTCCAATTCATGAAACAAGTAAGTCGATTTTGAATCCAAAATAAAAGTTTTCTAAGCATTCCCCAGCTATTTTGCCAATGGAAGGATAGCCATTTAGTGCTCTCTGTATTAATGTGTTAAATGACACAAATTGGCTTGTTTTATGGCTTTTGGTGGGTTGTTGCCACTGTATTAAAAACTAGGGGGGCAAAATTCACTTTTATTTGAGCCCGACACTAGGGCAGAATCAGTGTTAAGTAAGTTTCACAGCAGAGGCCACTTAGAATGACTATTTCTGTCAAAATTAAGAAGGTAAAAGAAAAACACCTTTTTGAGAAAGAAGGCAATAACTTCTGAGTCATGCTGCATGAAGGGAAGTGGAGGACTCCAGTGGCTAACAACTAGTATGTAAGGCTTCCAAAACTCCCAGGAGTCACATTTTCTGTTCTGTGTACGGAGAGTTGTGTGTGCAAATCACCAATTATTGCTAATGCCATGAAACCCCCCTGCAGGGACTTACTGACCATTTTGACCAAGAGGGACATTTGTTCTTTTTCTCTCCCATCTGCAGTGGCAGCAGGATAAGAACATCTTGTACAAAAACATCAGGTGAACTTTCCCACATAGAGCATTTCACTTTAAAAAAAAAATGTTCTGAGTGCAGTTCATACTTGAGCACAGAGGAAAACTGTATTTGGCTGCAGAATGGGACTGGAAGGGAGTAGCAGATTTTTTTAAATCACTTTACAGGGGGAGAAGGAGCTGTTTCTGAGGAGAACACATCAGCTGTTATGTCTGTATGCTCCTGTAACTATGCAAATCTGCTAATCACTGTCATTTTAACCCTCCCCTAACTACCTGGCCATGGGTTAGGCATTGTCCAGGCCCCTTTCCAGTGATCCTTTTGAAGTTGAACCACTGTATCTTGCATTTAGTAGTCCTTGGATACAGTGCAATGCAGTGTGAAGCTTACTGTCTCATTAGGAGAAGGGTTCTGGCTTGAACCCTGACACCTGCTCCTGTCAGCTCAGTAAGCAACATGCTCTCTAGCTTGTGCCGGTCCTCCTAGCCCCAGATATCTCCTGCTCTTTGCTGCTCAATGAGCCATCTTGAACTGGCTTGGAAAGGGGACTAAACTGTGGCATAGTTGGAGAGAAGTAGGTTCAAACTCCTTTGGGTGATGGGGCCTAGGAACTGGCTCTCCTCTTCCTAGGCGAATGGCCTAACCACTCAGCTATCAGGACTAAAATGCAGAAAGGTCCTCCTCCTCACACACCTCTGCCACGGGATTTTGCGACTTGCATATATACACTGGGTAAGACACCAGGCCAGAGAGCACTAATGCGGGTCCAACAGAATTAGTCCTGTATTATAAACATTCACAGTAAGCTGCCTTAGCTCTTCTTTATATGAGAAACAGTGGGATTCTCAAAAGGATGGCTAAGAAGTGGAACCCACCCTGCGCTGGTCTCAAGCTAAGGTTGCATCCCAAACTATGACTCTGAAGGAAGCTAATATTGTTTTGATTTTTTTTTTAAAGACCTAACTGTTCCTCTCCATGGAAATCTTTAGTAAAAGACGGAAGATTTATGTGATCTGATTTAAATTACTTCAGGGCCAAGACTCTACACCGATCTAGTGGAGTGAAAGGGGCTTTTCTCCCCCTCAAGAAATGGGTAAATCTAGCTCAAACTCCGCCGCTGCATTCTGCTGTACAAATCATGGCCAATGGGATTAAGTTTAAAATTATGGTCTCACAATATACATGTAGTAACAGAGACAGATGGTATCATATCTATTACTGGTTGTAACATATTTTCCCAGTTCCTAGGAAGGGGAGTTGATAACTGGTGCATACTGCTCAAATCTTCCAAGATTTGCAGCACATTCTGTTCTTTAAAGAGCAGATGACAAGTCTCACAAATTTAGCAGAGTTTGATGTAGGACAGATGGACAGAGGTCCCTGCTGAGGAACAAACTTAACTGCCACAGGGAATTTCAGGACCAAAATTCCTTTGCAAGTTAATCAACAGACTTCAGGATCTTTCCTCCCTTTTTGTTAACTGATTAACAAATTTACTTGGTTCCCATTCCAATGAATCACTAGGTGGGAGAGTGGGGGTGGAAAGGGAGGAGTTAGCAAATAAAATGGAAGATAAGCTGTCACAGCAAGTAAAGAACCACCTGAATTTTAAACACAGCAGAAAATCTTAGAGCATGGTTTAAGGCTGATTAATTGAGGAGTGCAATTACTCCTATCTTACTCACCAATTATGACAGTGTTGTCATCGGCTATTAGCAGTTTGCTGTGAACATAGATCAATTCGGTGACAAGTTTTCCTTCTAATTCAGCATATGTTCGAAGCCCACAGAACGATATGTAGTTTATCCACTTATCCCCCCCAACTGCAGAATAAAAGGGGCATGGGGGCGGAGGGAGAAAGAGCAGGTGGGCAAAGAGAAACAGTTGTTAATAATATGAAGCCAAGGACAGACAACACAGTTCCTTTTCAAAATATTTTTAAACAATAAGGTAGTTTACACAGTTCTTAAAAAGAGATGTGGCTTTGTTATGGCTTTTCTGTGTCCCTCTGACCCCTTCAGACAGCTTAAGTGACTATCCATGACTACCCCTCAATTAAGACCAAAATCTGCCTATCGCTGTGCCAACTGAAGCTAATGTTTGAGCATCTCTGGCTTAGGCAGCTGTTTTCTCTAGCTGAGCTTGGGAAGAAACTGAAGCACGTTTTCTGGCACCATACACTATGGAAAGTGTGTTCTATTTTCAATGATCCATACTTTAGATTTACTCAAAGAGATTAATAATGAGTTATACATAAGGTCTGCCAGGCATATTTCTGGTACGTGTTTTTTGTGGTCCTTTCATTTATATCCAAGAAACTAAAATATGCAAATTGGTTGTGAGAAAGCATGTGTGACAGATGTTGTGTAGCCACGTGGTTTTATCTCCACTGGGTGCCAAACAATAACAGAGCTAAAAACAAACCTGATTCCAGAGCAAACAGACACAGGACTCAGTAAGCTCCAGGGATGGGATGAGATCCCATGCAGAAATTCCTAGCTGATCTACCCTATGCTACTACACGGACTGCTGCACATCTCCCCTAATTTCCTAATTCCCAGCTTGGCACTGCGCTACCCAACAATAGGACCCATGGTGCCACAGCAATGACAAACTAGAATGCAATAAACACTAGGGTTCTTGCCCAGGAGGAGGGCACAGATTGAATCTTACTGCCTGTTTCTATTTCAGCAGAGATGCAGATGTTAGACTAGCACGATTCCTTTACGTTGAAGATGCTTGAAGGTTTTCTTGACGTCATTGCAGCATTCTGAGTTATTGCCAGTTATACAATTCAGCAATTGGATGAGCTAATTTATGCTTTGTAGCTCATCAATTACAATTTCATGCCCTACCACTTAACACAGTGAACAGGAGGAAAACAAAGCACTTACTTTCTGTTTTCAGTTGCCCCAGAATAGAGCGATCTCCCCTGCACATGGTCCTGAAAAGAATGAAGGCAAAAATTAAAATACAAGTGTTCTGATGCAACAACATATCAATAGGTTTGTGAAGTTAGTAGCAACCTAAATTAGGTACGAATTACACTGTAAGTATGATAAAAATGTGTATTTATATTCTGACATACAAAAAACTAGAACTCTTGGTTCCTCAGTGATACCTTTTATTAGACTAACTGATATTTCCAGAATAGATTTCTTAAATAAATGTTAAGATGCGTAGGACACATAGGCTAGGGACAAGTTACACATAAACTGGTTTAAGTAATCAGAAACTGGTTTAAACCTGTACCAGAACGGAAGTTCAGTGCACATAAACCGCTTTCAAAACGACCAAAACTGGTTTAAGATAAGCCTGGTTGAATGTAGTATCAGATTTAACTGATTTAGGTCAAACTGGTTTATGGAACTTCTGTCCCAGACCCCTTCCTGGTTTAAGTTAAGTCAACCCCGCAGCATCCCAGATGTTTCGTGGCTCTGGGCTGTGCCGTCTGCTCCAGCGGAACAGGGCTGGCCCCAGCCCTCTCCTCCCTAGCTGGACCCCTATCACTGCTCCAGCTGGCTGAGAAGGGGGTGGGAATACCCTGCTCTGGAGTGCCCCCCCGCCAGCAGGAGTCAGGGTATGGCCAGACACCATAGCCTGAGTGGAAAGTGGGGGACAAGCACAATCTAAGAAGTGGAGGGTGTGCTCACAGAGCTCACAACTGAGAACACCTGCTGGTGGCTTTTTTCACCAGCTATACTCTGTATAGCTGGTGAAAAAAAAAGCCATCAAGAGCTTCCTGCAGCTGTTTTCTGCCCCACCACCCCACACTGGGGCCCAGCACTGTGCCCTCCCAGCCCTGATCCCTAAGGCAGAGCTGCACAGAACCACCCCCAGCCCCATGGTGGGGGAGCAGGAGGGGGAGACAGCCGCAGCAGCTATGTGACAGCCTGGCTCGGCTTGGGCGCAGTGAGCTGGGAGCAATCCAGGCACACAGTTCCCGTGGCCCCAGCCCGAGCCACAGCTGGATGGGAAGGGCCCTGTCCCTGTGGCCCAGCCCCTCTGCGCAAGCCCACAACAGTGTGAGTGGGTTGGCCTGGCTCAGCCCCACAGCCCCAGCCCCTGGCCTTGATCCTTCTGCTCTGTAAAGCCCCAGTTGCAGAATATTGTCAATCTAGAGCTAGGTGGACAGGTGGACTTTTGGGACACTAAAGGCTGAAGGTCCTCTATTATAGGGAGCCACTGGCTTCCCCTCAAAGCAAAGTACCTGCCATGGAAAACTCCCCTGAGGCAGCACAGAGCAACAGGCTGGAAAGCTCTGAGGACTGCCTTAGTTTTTAATTCTGGCAAAATGAATGAACTAAGTACCATGCCTTCCCCTTAGTTATGGGAGGGTTTTCAGTGAAGACCTTCTGCCTAGCACACAAAAATTAATTAAAGTTATGTGTGCATATATTTACGGGCCTGATTTAGGTGGCTGTGTTCAAAAGCCGAGACCATTTCTCTCCAGCTGATCCGCAGATCTAAGACACCTGTCAGCTTCTGGTGACAAAGCCCAATGAAACTCCCAGACTAAAGCAATGCAGGAACTGATGTGGCTGAGGAAACGATAAAACTCTAGGCTCCCTCCGCTGGTTGTGCACCAGAGAAGTGACATACACATCAAATAGAGTGAACATTTATTGTGATGTTGGAACTCAAACAAATGTGTGTGGTGCTACACTCATTTGTTGCTGAACAAAGAGAGTTGCCCATAATTTTAACTCTATTAAACCTCCAAGAAAGATCAAAAACAAAAACATTGTCAGGCTTCTAAAAGGCTACCAGAAGCAGCAAGGAAAAACCACGCATAAATTGTGAAATGCATTGTGATGGCATCCAAATTGCTGAAGGAAAGGTGAACATTTCAAGCATAATTAAAACCTGGGTCCATGCACTTGAAGGAAAAATAGAATCTTATTTGGGAGCCTTCTAATACAAAACTGCTAATCATATACTGATTCATTCTTTTATGCAATCGAAATGCTGTTCAGAAGAGAGCTGAAAGGTCATGGTGAGGTTGCCCATGTATATTTAAATATTTACCAGCACAAGGCATTATTATTGACTAAATTTTTCCTTTGCCATAATCCACTAACATAGGTATTGATTAAAACTGCTGAAACTATTATTAATTCCAGCTGCTATGCATAACAAGTAAGAAAACAGACAGCAATAACATTCTGCCTCACTTCCAAAGATCCAAGGAGACAGCAAGCCTTGCTTTCCAATTTTAAATACACTGGCTGCCCACATTTCTAGAAAATGCCACATGTGACAATTCAACTGGCTCTTAAGGTTGGATAATGGGTGCAGCATGCATTTTACTAAGTACCTTAGAGTCTAATAATATCAATACAAAACCATTTTGAGAGTTTAGTGCAAACTGTATAAACAGATGATTTTCTCATCCTTTTCTACATTTTATTTATTCGTTAACACAGCACCCGGCACAAGGAAGCCTTGATCCTGACTGGGGTCTGTGGTCACTACCATAATACATACAGAAATTATCAGCATCACCAGAACACACAGACCACTGTCAAGATCTCACCCAGCCTTGTCCTGCTGTGAGCTATGTGCATTACCTGTAGTTGAAGTGCATTATGGCCTGCAGTGCATTCCCTCCTCCAGTTAAAATATCTCCTTCGAATCCAGGCAGCAGCGGGATCACCACATATACTCGGAACCGCTTGTTCTCCCTGCAACAAACACAACGATAATTCTCCTGGGGCTGCAAAGGCAACTTCTTTTCACCATAACTTACTAGCTCCAGTTCTTCCTAAGGCTAAGTTTCTAGGCTAAGGACAGAAATTACACATAAACTGGTTTAAATCATCAGAAACTGGTTTAAACCTGTCACACAGGGATGGGGAACCTCTGGACAGCCGGTTCGCCAGGGACTCCATTTCCCAGCCGCCACTGCCCGCATGGCTTGTGCCGGTCTCAATGGAGACCTCAGCCGCGCCAGCAGCGCGCGCAGCAGAGTAGCACAGGGGGCTTCTCCGGAGCTGCTGGGAATGTGGGATGGGGCAGCTTGCTCCAGAGCCGCAAGCTGTAGCCTGCACACTCCAGGCAGGGGCATGCATGCAGGGGATCGTGGCTCTGCCCTGGCTTCAGACAGGCTGTCACTGCTGCAAGGAGCCAGGGTAGAGCCGCGATCCCCTGCATGTGTGCCTCTGCCCAGAGTGCGTAGGCTACAGATCGCAGCTTTGCCCTGGCTCCGGAGCAAGCTGCTGCTGTCTCACATTCCCAGCAACTCTGGAGCAGCCCCCTGTGCTGCTCTGCCATGTGTGCTGCCAGCACAGCTGATGGTGGGGTCTCTATGGAGACTGGCACAAGCCATGCGGGCAGGGGCAGCTGGGAAATGAAGTCCCCGGCCAACTGGATCTGGCCCATGGGCTGGACGTTCCCCATCCCTGCTGTAACAGAACAAAAGTTCAGTGCACATAACCAGTTTTAAAATGGCCGAAACTAGTTTAAGATAAGCCTGGTTGAATGTAGTATCAGACTTAACTGACTGAGGTCAACTGGTTTATGGAACTTCTGTCCCAGACCCCTTCCTGGTTTAAGTTAATCAGCATGCCCTAGGATCCCAGCATGCTTTTCAGCCCTAGACTGGGCTGTCTGCCCCAAAGAGCAGGGCTGGCTATGCCCCTCTCCTCCCTAGCCAGAGCTCCATCACTGCTCCAGCTGGCTGAGAAGGGGATGGTAGAATGCAGCCAGGGTCTGTGTGGCAGAGGCACAGAGCTCCTCACCCTCTGAAAGGCAAGTGGGGAAGAGCCTGTCAAGAGCTTCTTCCTCCTCTTCCTCCATGCACAGCCCACCTGGAGACTGTGGAAGCCAGAGTCGGGGTTTAAGCCCCTCTCTAATCATAGTGGCCTGCCAGGGCCTGGCCATGCCCCATCCCCCCAGCTCAGCACTGTAGAAGGGAATGGAGGGCTGCTCTTGAGACCCTCAACTTTTAGCCTGAGCCACTGCAGGTATGTGCCTGCATTTTCTGAATCAAAAGTGAATGTCTATCCACTTGCAAATTGGTTCAATCTATGCAGGTTAGACTAACCTGCAAAGATTAAATCAATTCAGGTTTGGGCTTACTGACTGTCTGCACTTAGCCCTATTGTATTAACTAGTTACCAGTGTATGGACTGTATGGACTCTCTCATAAAGTTTTTTTGCACTAAACTCTTATTACATTTTTAAGGACGTTAAGGGTCAAAAGTATTTCCTGCTTCAGTCTTCAGTGGTCACACTCAGTGCTAGAACATGTGCTTAAACACCTATGCACAGAATGTGCAACTCACTAAGAACTGAAAATCACAAGAACAGGTGTAAAATAAAAAGCAGTTAGGACTGAAGTGTTAGAAAGGCAAAGATGGGGTAATTATCGTGAATGCTGTGTCTACTGTAATAAGTGAATTGCAGGGCCTTGATTTAAACTGACAGCACAGCCTTACTGAACATGGCAAACAACACACATCATCCCTGTAAAGTTATTATAAACCTAACAGCAAAATAAGATCTACAGTTTCAGAATTTATCCTGCCACCTGTGGTTTCCAAGCAGCAGAAAACACCAGGGAGAAGAAGTGGATGGAATAATCAGACCACTTTGAAAGGCCTTGAGATACAGGTCTTCCCTGAATATTTAGAAAGGCAAATAGTTGGCCTCATACATCATAACTTACAAAGACAGCTTCATTTCGAAGTACCCTTAACTATGATCTGACCCTATATTACTAATGACTTGCTAAATCAACTGTTTATTTTAAACAAATGTTTGCCCTTTCTTTGCTGACACAAAGATGCCTATTTTCAAGGCCAGCCAATTTCTGCTGTGATTTATTTCTAGAGGTGTCTCTATAATCCAAAACAACAGTAGGTTGCCAAAAAAATGAAGTTGAATTGATTACAATTCAAATGTTCTCTGCCTTTCCCAATATTATTAGAGGGCGTATTTTTCCTGCCCTGAACATTATAGTGGGTGATTTCTGATAAGCTGAACTGTTATCAAAGCCGGAATTATTTTGCTATTGTTACCTTAATTTTTTTTAGTTATTTTCATATATGTTATCTCTGTGAAGGGAGCTCTACGTAAGGGACTTATCACCAGGTGGCAAACAGTTTGATGTGGGAAAAACCATTTCAAAACCAAAAACAGTATCCAGGGGACCAGTTTACAAATGTTGCTAACAACCTTCCTTCCTTCCTGGGAAAACTTAACAGGTCTGCACCTTTAGAGGAGAGGCACAAATACCAGAGAAGGGGTTCACACTTGCTTTGAAGTACATGTATCAACACAACAGTTTCCTCTGTTAACGGAAGAGCTTGAGTTGGCCCTTGCATAACTTCCAGTTGATCTGGATTGTTAACGGACTTATTTAGGTATTTAAAGTTCATTATGTACTTTAAGTGCCTTGCTGAATCATGGCTTAAATAAGCACAAACCATTCAATAACCTCAGTGTTTATATTATACAAGGTGTCCTATAGTAAATACAGGGAAGTGAAAAAGATATATTGAAGATATTGAGGAAACTGTGTTTACCCTAGATTAAGAGAGCAGGTATTTAATGGTTTCTATCACAGTCAAAATGTTAACTTCATGTTGCTTCCAAAATAATTTCAGAAGTGGTTAAAATATCTTCACACATCAAACAGTTATAACGGCAGAGATTTTGAAATAAAAAACCCCAGTAATTCTTGATATTTGTGAACCTATATTGCATTTTGAGGGGAAAAATATTAAGATACTAGTTTTCATACAAAATATGACTCGCTTATTGTAAAACCTATTACAAGTAAGCCCATGGCACAAAGGATTATATAACTTATATTTGCAGAAAGCATGTTTTGCTACACAATAAAGAGGCATTCAGAAAACTCCATAAATGTCCACGTCAGTCTGCTTTTCCTATGAAATTCAGAATGTGTCAATTCCATATGGAAAAATCAGGTCTGATAACTGTATTCTTCAACTTAGCCAATGCCAGCCACTTTATGGCAATGCAATGTGGGTCTCAGCCTGGGTGTGACCCTCCACTCCAGTGTCCTCAACCAGATCTGGCCTCTGACACCATGTCCTCTGGCCTGTCGGGCCCTCCAGAGGTCTGAAAATTTGGTGGTGGGGGAACAGTTGCACTGCTTCCCTGATGCCAAATTTCAGGTCCTGTGGGGTGCCACGTGGGCTGGATAGCATGTAGGGCCAGGCAGAGGTGGCAGAGGGCCCCAGAGCCTGACCCTGCTATAAAGGATCAGCCAAGGCCACATGGGTGTTTGGGGCCTCATTTGACCCACCAGTTTTGGACAGGGTGAGGCTGTTGAAATCAATGGAGTTATACCAGCACAAGACTGAAGTAACAAAGAGGCTCAGTATTGGAAAATGGGTCATTGGAGAATTTGTGGTTAAGTCATGCCTGCCTTTTTTGTAGCTGTTTAAGTTACAAGCATGCATCAATCCAGCAGAATGTGGTATGGCAGGCTGTTACAATCAGGGCCTCACCAATGCAGATAGGCTAGATCCAAGTAGGAAATCCACAATGGAGTATCTCTGTAGTCTAACAAGACTTTGTTGATACTGTATTTACTCAAATCTAAGATGATCCTGAATTTAAGACAATCCCCTAATAATTAGATTCTATACATAGAAAATGTATACATTTGTTAAAATTTTCCATATCTAGACTCTAATTATAAGAGGGTTGCCTTTAACTCGCTCCTACTCCACACTGCGGCAGAAGGGCAGGCAGCAGGGTGTGCAGGTGGGGAGGACATGCTGCTGGTT